GAATTTTCAGAAGAAGCTTTGAAGCCTCCAGTTCTTAAGAGACTGCCTGGTAGGCCTCCAAATAGTAGAAGGGAAGCTGGTGAAGCTGGCCCTGGAGCTAGTGATTCTAGAAGGTCGTGCACTGTTAAATGTGCCATTTGCAAAAAAATTGGGCACAACAAAAGGACTTGTCAAAGGGCTCCTGTGAAGAGAAAGGGTAAATCTAGCTCAATTAGTGGTTCAAGTGTTTCTACAACAGGGCAAACAAGTGGGGTTGCAATAAGCCAAGAAAGTGGAAGAGGTTCAAGCCTAGGAGGGGGAGTTTCTATTAGAGGGAGTGATGCTGGTGGTAGTTACACAGGTAGTAGTAGAGGTGCAGGTGGTGGAATTCCAACTGGAAGAGGTGCAAGTGGTTGAGGTTCTACTTCAACAGTGGTAGGGGGACAACATGTAAGTATCACATACATTTTGAACTTGACTATTGAATGCATCAGAGTTTTTTAAGATACATTGGTAATTATAAACAAGATGTATAGGTCTCACAGAGGGTAATTTAGTCAATTAAACTTTTTTTGGCTGATGTCATCAAGATTCTTTTGACGGCCCTAACGGCCATATGACGGCAGGGGGGTTTCTGTAATGCAATTGTTAACCTCAAGGGTGGAAATGTAATTTCCCGAATGTGAGGGGAGTATCTATATTAAACATAAACCTGAGGGGGTGTCAGTGTAATTTACCCATATATTTTAGATATTATATATATTAATATATTATAAAGTGCACAGTAAAAAACTGTGCACTTAACAAAAATTGGAGCCAAAAGTGGAAAGAAAGAAAGAAAAAGAAAAAAAAAGAAAAAGAAAGGCAAAAACAAAAACAAAAACAAAAACAAACAAACAACCAAGGTGGTGGTGGCTAATCACTCCACCCCTCAATTATATATATATTTTTTATTATATTATTATATTATTTATATTACCATGTTTGTTTTATTTGCAGGATATTTCTTCCATAAAAGAAGAAGAAGAGAAGGCGAGAAGGTGAAGGGGAAGAGTGGAGCTCAAGAGAGCAGAGGGCTTCGGCCCATGGAAGGAAGAGAGGAAGAGAGAGAGAAAAATAAAAAGAAAGGGCAAGTGGGAGAGTAGGGTAGAGATGAAACCCTGACTAAATAATTAGGGTAAGTTGTATTTAGTATTTTTAGTTTTAATTTGATTTGGATATAGTTGTATAACTCTAGATCTTATGTGCAATAAATATTTTATTTAAATCATGTTATACAATGGTTTTCACTACTATATATTATACCTAGTAAGACGGGTCATGCATTAAACCGTAGTTTAGTGGTGATGGACCATGCTAAGCGAAGATGACTCGTGCCTTTCTGGTTTTGATATATAAATTCTCTTGACAATGTATTTCTGATCAACTTACGTCACAGTATCGAAATAAATGATTTTCTAAAGACTAAGTATAATTACTCCCAATTATGAGGTTAGTGGTGGATTCAAAATTCTAAGATATTTATTTTATTTTGTTTATTTAATTGCTTAATTAATTAGTTTAATTTTCACCTCACAATTCACAAACAAATATAAATTTCTAAATTAAATTATTCATCATTAGTTCCTGTGGATCGACATCTGGTCTTAACCGCTATTCTACAGAGTAGTTGTTTATACTTGGTTTTAAATAAAATATTTTGGTGTGCAAACAACCATATCAATTACACATGGCTTGAGCGACCAAATAACCGTTTGAGCGATCTTTGCTTGTTTTTCACACCTAAATAGACATAGGATGTAATAGTAAAAAAATATATAAATTTATTTAACTCATCTAAGAATAGAGCAGAATGGTGAAAAATAATTTATGTAGCTGACTCCACTTGATTGGGATACAAGGCTTACTTTGGTTTGGTGTATGTGCAAGATTCATATAGCAAAAGCATTAATGAGGACATAACCAAATGAACACAAAAATACAAAGTAACAAACTCCAAAGCTCCCTTGCTGCATCACAATGAAAAAAGATGGTGATCTTCTTTCTCCTTCCATCTATGGCACGTGCAACACCAATTTAGTAAGCATCTTTTCCCTTCTTTTGAAATTATCTATAGTGAAGATATAATCCAATGCTTCATCAAGGCAAGAACGTCGCCTCAGAGTAAGCACCCACTTTCCAAATATTCCTTCAAGAACAAAATTTCCCCATGTAGCTTCCAAGAATATCATGGGAAGTCTCTCGTTATTGCCTTTCCATATCGTTCTATCCCCATTTTCTAGGAGTTACCTCCACCTTGCACAAAGCATCAAAAAACTCATTCAAATCTCCCAAGTCCCAATCTTCCGGTACCTGAACAAAGAAAGGTTCCAAAAATCCTTGTGTCAATAATCCTCAAAGAGTGAGCCACTAAAACATTCTCATTAGTGACAATAGAATATAAATCTAGAAGTGGCACCCATAATGAAATGTCTTTACATCACACATCATGCCAAAATCTTACTCACCTCCCATCTCGAATTAGGAATTTGACATTAATAAAAAAATCTTGCAATCCCTTCCTAATGCCCTTCCACAAACCAATCCCATTGGTATTCTTCAGTAACCTGAATGTAAATTCTCCAACACCACATCTGTATTTGCATTCCACCATCATTTCCTAAACACCATTTCTCTTTGACCACTTGCGCAAAACGGTTTGATCAAGTATCATAATCTGTTAAATTCCCAATCATCCTTCATAGGAGAACAACTAGTATGCCATGCAATAAGGTGATATTTAAATGTCCTCTAGACCACCCCAAAGGAAATTCTTTTGCAGCAATTCTAATCTCCCAGTCATAGTAGCACAAATCATGAAATAGAGAGAAAATATATACACTAGTACTCTCGATAGAACAAAGTTTATCGCCTTTAGATAGGTATTGCCTCTTGCAAGAAGTACCATCCAAGTGACCACAAATTTGACAAGGATAAGTACATCTAGGTGACCATGAGAAGTATTGCCAAGGTAACAAGATTATACCACAACTTCCCAAAGGTGTATATGGCTTTGCTTGGGAACACCACCGCTTTATTTATTGTATCCAACATTTTAGTTAAAGCATCAAGATCATGATAGCAGTGGATCATTAGACCTCATGAAGTACAATTGAGGTCTAATGCACTTTATGAGAAGATTACAATGTTCCAAAAGATAGTTTATGTTGCTCCTATATCAAATGATGGGAGAACCACGTGACCAAGCGACTAACAATTCATAAAATCACCAAGGCCTACAAGGGAAATTGTATGTCAACCAGATGGAAAATCATTGTCAAATGCATATAGAGTTGAGTTTTCCCAATATTCTGTAGTAGATTAAGTACCTCTTTTGCATTCTTGAAAATCAATTTGTAACTTCATATCATCCCATATTCAAATGGTAGCATGATGCTCAAGCTAATATTTGGTCCACCATATTCTAGTTGTACCCTTCAGTTTTGCTTCGGCAAAAACTAACCCCTTTCATTAGTCAATTGGAACCAACGAAAGAAACACTCTAAGTTATGTATCCATACCTCACAGTCATGATCTCCACTAAAATCAGAAACTTGAAGGTTGTCACCTTTGTCTAGATCAGTCAAGCAATGATTCTTTGGTATTCGTCGGTATCCATATCCAACAGTATGAGGTGGAAGAGCACCCGACAGTCCACTAGTTGTGGCTTCATCTTTGCATTTGCCTACCAAAAAAGTTGCTAATTCTTTTAAAGCAACTTGTACCTAGGTCAATATTTCGTTCATATGTTTTCTTCAACTCCTGGTATTCGAGACATGAGGTATCAAATTTTGAGTTTAACAGTCACCACAGTTAAGGTCGGATCTAGGTTTAGGTTGGGGTTAGGGTTAGGGTGAGGGTGAGGTGAGCCAGGCTTGTATTGGGTTGGGTAAGGCTTTGGTTTGGTTTGGCTAGACTTGGGTTGTGGGTTTAATGATTTGGGTCAGGTCAAACGGATATAAAGCTGATTGGGTCAGGTTGATCTAGGGTAAACACACAATCACGTTGTCTTCTCCGTGACGTCTCCAACTCTTCCACCAGCAATGACTTCATTGAGGCCTTTGCGGCAATGATCGCAAAGAGTCATCGAGGGCACACTTTCAACGAGAGGTCAGAGAGGTGTTTGCCGATTTCAGAGCTCGGATTCTCCAACAATAGGCTATAGCAGTGCCGACGGAATCACGATGATAAGAAGATGGGGATGAGGCTTCATGCAACTGGTTTTAGGCTTTGTGAGACTGGTTCACAATGAGAAGGGTTGTGATGGACCAGATAGTGCTCGAAAACATCAGCAATGGAACAGATGGGGGATCGAGGTATGCTCTGATTTCAAAATGATGTAGTATAGTGTAGAAAAGACAGACACTCAAGAGGCCAAATCTTAAAACATTAACAATATTATTAGTACAGAACTGCCTAATACAACAAGAGAAACCAATGGTTCATAGCTTAACAACCTTAATTAAATTAGAAAATCAAAAGCCTAATATTATTTGGAAACATAATTAAAAAATCCTAACTAAAAAATAATTAAATCTTACTAAAATACTAAATAAATCAACAAATTACATTTGTGGGTCCAAAATGTCTTCAGACAATGCAATGAACCTATGGGCACACCCTAGGCTTCCAAATCCAATAATGGGCTTCCATCTAGTTAAGGGTTGCGCCATCACACACCTTAGAAAGAGTCAGTAATATCCTTTTTCCATATTCATATTGAATCATGTCATCCTTAAGACTTAATAGTTTGTTTGCAGTTGAAGCACATTTCTAAAATTAAGTAATCAACAACATCAAAAACTCAAAGTGGGACAAAAGTTAAAGTTCACAGTAAATATATTTTATAGGCCGGCACATAGAAAATGAATGAGTTAATCAGATGCTGAGAGAGATTGACAAAAATATGATGCAACTGTTATACTAGTCAAGTGAGCACTAGCTTGTGAAGATTCATATATGACAACAAAAAACCAACTCACCCCCAGAATAATTGACTTCAGTGCTTTCTGAAAACCAAAAACCTTCCCATCACTGTCAAAGGTGGCCTGCCACTTGTCTGGCTTAAGCATTTTACTTATCTGCACCATTATAAAAAGGATATGAAAAACTAAAATTTTCTGCATAAGCTGAAAAAATCAGTATAGTAATTCAAGAAAAAATGGAAAAGAACTAAACACCCTTCATGCAAATCAAATTGCCCAAAACAACTCAAACATATTTCGTACTCATTTTGCAAGTTACTAAAAGAAGAATCTTTAAATTTATAGAGGAAGGGGCAGAGATATGTACACCTACCTTGGAGGGGCCATGCACCCCCTCCTCGATAACCTATCATGACACCAGAAAGTTTCTGTGCAAGTAAAATCATGAGGTATGAGAAAATTTATTGAGTGATTGAAAGGTTTTTATGGAAGTAAAGCAAAATTCAACATTTTGATAGTTTACCAAAAGAGTTGCGAGTGACCTAAATTTTAATACTTTTATCTTTGCCATTTGGCATTCTAATAATTTTGAGTCTGAAGGGAAACTTGTGAAATCTTAAGATTGGATAAATACCTTTCATTGAGAAGCCGCTATTTTTCGTCCAACCCCAAAAACCAGAACGTTGTTCTTGGAGTGGAAAGTTGACTTTTTATTCCGTTGGAATTTCAATATCTTTATGTTTCCATCGAATTCAAAATGAGGATATTTCTTCATTTAATTATAATATATAATGTAAACATTTAATTAAACACTGAAGAATATAAATAAGTACAATATTGTAGCCAGCGTGCAAATTGCTGAGTCAGTAAGGACTTCAGTATAAAATAGACGAAGCGATAGAGAAACCGAACTTGTGCAAAAACAGGAAAGAAGGGAAGAAAGTCCTGCTTCAAGAAGAGCAACTTGTTTTTTGAAAGTAATTTACCTTGTTTTCTTAGTTTAGACCAAGTAACTTGACATACTCTTTTAATTAAGTCTTAGAATCATGAATACTTATAGTTAATTCTTAAATTTATCTCTATCTTGATATTAACAAATGTATTTTGTTCTAAATGCAATCTAGAGCTTTTTTTTGTTAATTAGTTACCTATCAGGCTATTAACCCATATACAAAGATTAGTTCTTGATTACCTAGCTCAATTATCTAGCTCAAATCTTAGAATCATGCTAGTTTTGAATTAGATCTCATTTTCAATCAACTTGTGTGAAAATTTCTACCTTAAGGGCACATTTGACTGCCATATTATTTTTTATAGGATAGGATGTGAATGGGATGAATGGGATTATTGATAGGATTATGGGAATAAGTTATAACAAAGGATTAGATGGGATGAAGGATTGGATATATGCTAGGTTTATGGAGATAAGCTACACCATGGGATACATAGATGGGATAAAGGATTGGAAGAGGGAAAGGGGTATTATGTTTGGAAAGGATGAGATGAAGAGATAAAATTATTTTTTACTATTAGATGGAGGGAAATAATCCAGAGAGGCCTAATCCCCCTAATACCACAAGGCCTATGATATTTACTTAATCACCCATTTTCACCATTTAATCCCCACTACAAATATTAAAGTTATCCGAAGTTTTAATACCCTGCTAAACAAACATTAAATTAAAAACATGTGATACCCAATGTTCTCCCCCTCTTATTCCTCTCATTATCCCACAATCAAATGGTGGACTATTTTTTCGGCAGGGCCCAACTATCCCCTCACCCCTTATCCCCCATTCATTAAAGCAATCAAACACACCATAAGTTCAATTTAATTCTTGTTCTTGTTAATTGCTAAGCAATTCATTATACATAAGTTCATTGCATTTTTACAAGACACCTTGAGACTTACCATTCTGGCCTAGCGTATTAATCAAAGCACCAGGTTGAGGCTCACTAAAGGATTCACTCTCACTGGGTACCCTCTAGTCCGTCTCCCTGACTGCAAATAAGAACAAGAAATATCATAACTGAAACCAAGAGAAGAAGAAGCCTAAACCCCATCTCCTCTATTAGAAGAATTTAAAATGCAAGTTTGATGCCTCAAAAGCAAAGAAACAATCATGGTATGTTGCTCAGTGGAGTCATTGGAAACACCTAACTCTTCTAGAGAGACTACATCAAACACCTTGCTAACTCAGTGCATCCCTTGTAGATCATTGGGGTGGAGTCCTCTTCATGAAACAAAACATTCAAATCCTAATCTGGGTCTGCATCATCCTCTTCCTATTCCTTTTCCTCACAATCTAGATCAGATTCCGATTATGAACCCTCATATGAACTCTTCCATAGCATGCAAAACCTCCTCAGGATCAAAAAGCCCACTCTCCATTTCTAAAAATCAATCTTCCAACACCTCCAGCATCACCCAGATTTTTGGCCCCCCCTTCACATTTTTACTTGCATATACCTTTCTTTCCTTTAACACTCGTTTTGAAGAAGCTCCGTTTGGCTCTGTCGACAACATCTGTCAATCCAAGATGAATTTCCACCATATTTAGACTCTCTCCCAAATCTGGGTCTCGTCAGACCTACATACTAGGCCTTATCTTCAACGAGCACAACTTGTGTTTCGCTATGAGGGTTATTACCATTGGTCACTCTAGTGCCATTGTGAATCTCCCTTCGTAAACCTAGCATCATCTACCTCCTGATTCTCTAAAGGGCGAAGCTCCTGACATGACCTCTAGATCATCGACTGAGAAGCCCTAGCCTGAGGATACTTAAAACCCAATCCTTCCTTTGACCTGCCTCTCCCTTGTGACTTGTACCTTGTCCAAATCACTCCAACCTACCTGAACTTGCCCCTATGCTTAGACCCAGTTCACTTTGTGCTCTTAGAAACCCTGAGAATGGGCCTTAGGATGATTCTAGGCCTAGGTAATCCATAGGCCCCTTTTCTCATTAAATTCCATTTGCCCAAAGTTTGGGTCCAAATTGTAATGAATTTACCTTAGTTCGTAAGATTGGTCCTCTACATGGACTTAGGCTATATCTCTCTTTTCCTTAAATGCCACTTGCCCTGTTAAACTTACTATGGTTAACATACCTTGAGCCAATTTATGCGTCCCTTCCTATTCCAAATGTTCCTTGGAACAATGGAAATTCATTTACCACCTGTCTCCACTCCCTCCATGTGTTTTTGTACCCCTTCCATCCTCATCGATCAAGGTCCCGACGATTAAACTTCCTGTGCTCGGATGCTAGAAACTCCATTTTCGACCACCTTCAAAAGATTTTGGATTGGTCTTGAGGCAGCCTTTAAGCATACCTGCACAACAACATAATCTCCGTCAATCCCTCCATTACCCCCGGAAGGAAACCATAATCAAAGCCCTTCACTTTCAGTCTTGCTTTGAATAGGTCCTCAAAATTTTGTCTTTTCATCAGCTTCAATTAATTTTGAACCAATTTTTTTTCGGAAAACTCTCGTTCCAATAAAAAAAAAAGAAGTTAAATCACACACTGCTATCCAAGCTCCGTATGAAGGAACAACATTTGGATGTCTGTGCAACTTTTTCAACCAACTCTCTAATCTCACAGCAACTCCTTCAAGAAAGTTCATCCCCTGGCTTCCGAAGAACTTTACATTTTCCTTACTCTCATAGAAAAACAAGGCTCTATTGATATGAAATGACTGAAGAATGAAAATCCACGAAATTCATTATTTAATGCCTATCCAATTTGTGCCCAGCTAATGAAGAAATCAATCCTGACAGATACTCCATTTCCAGCTTATGACATTCCATTATTGATGATGTAGCTTTAAATAAATTAGCAAACAACATTACTTGGTTTACCTCTGTTAATTGTGGTGTCCTGTCTCTTTGTACTGCTACTTTTAACAAGAATCTCTTTCATGACCTTTCCATGAGAATCCCTGTACAATACCTGTCACAGCAGTTTTTCCATTTTCAACCATCCATGCCCTTTAATCCTAGTCGAAAAAACAATATTGTTTTTCTTAGACTTAGCTACCCATTTAAAGATCTCCACAAAACCCCCATTTCTGTTTGAAAGTCTCTGAGCATAGAAAATTGTTGAGTTATTTCTGTACTTCCTGAAGAAAGGGTCATCTTTGAAGCTCTTCCCAACCTCTCTCAAAGCTTGTATCATCCAATATACTCCCCCCAAATCAATCAACGTTGAATAACAATGACATCTATTTCTCTCAATAACTATGAAGCACCGACACTTCAAAACTAGTGCCATATCCGTATCGGTCACGCGGACCTGGCGGGCACACATATGGGATACGCCACATGGCGTGCTCCCTTATTTGATTAATTTTTTTTCAGGGGACACGTTGGGAACACTTCAGAGACACACAAAGGATATGCCAACTTGTGGGGACACGTTGGGAACACTTCAGAGACACACAAAGGATATGCCAACTTGTCTCTTCTCCCCATTTTCTTTACTGCTTTTGATGAATGTTGAATGTTTGTTATTTTTTTCTTAAATTTAAATACTTAATAGATCATCATAAAAAAAAAGCTATAAACTGTAAATGTTAATTTAAAAGTGTTTTTTTTTTTTTTAATATAGAATTAGAGTTAGTTTTTATTAATATTGATTGTTTGTGAATGTAATATTAACCTAGATAGCAAATATATGAGAACATATTTTATTATTGTGTCCCCGCCATGTCCGTGTTCCTATTTTTTTGAAATCGCCGTGTCCCGTGTCCGCATCCATATCCATATCTATGTCCATGCTTCTTAGCTCAATAATCTCCACTAGCTTTCCTCATGACTCTTTGTCAATTTGAATGACGAAAATCTTATGTTCTACTTTCATCACAACCATGTGCTCCTTGTAAGCTCTACTTCTCCGAATAAGGTTCATTTTGATTGTACAAACTAGGAATCTTTGATTATATGGGAAGTTATCAGGTAGTGAAGACGAATTCACTTGGGATGTATACCTGACTAATGCCCCACTAATTGTACTGTTATTAACTGCACTAGTGGAGCTGGCAGCATGATACCTTTGCATTTCTCCCAACTAATACCAGTATACTGCCTCCCAAAATTGACTATAAGATGCTATGCAAGTCAAATGCAATGGTAGAATTCATTTGTCTACACTGATAG